AATACTCCAATTTCGAGTTCTGGTTTGCTCTGTGTTAGCCTCAAAACCAAGTAACATATTCTTTTGTTTCATTGATAGCTCGAAAAAACGCATGGAATTTGTGAAGAAACACAATAAATTTGATTCGAAATCTCACACTTCTACGCTCACAATAAGGAATATTTTGCGCACAAATGAGGCTAACACAGAGCATTGGAGAATTCGAAACTGGAGTATTCGAGCATGCAATTCTTTGATTCGATCATTCAATTGTTAGATGATATTGAAACATTTTCTATGGCATTGTAGGCAATTTATCAAAATGCATTATAAATCGTTAAAATGATGTAAATGACGTCATTATGACGTCACATTTAGTTCCCACGGGTCAAGATTGGATGTGGTGGTTCGTTGTACGTGGGTGATCATTGCGTGGAAATTTCATGGYCATAGACCTATTGGTTCCAAAGACACAGAGGGGCTACTACAAAGCCATCATTCTGTTGGATACCGAACTATGGTATGGTCACATCGAACGGAACAAAAATAGTCGAAAAAATGTGAATTAAAAATTGTTCTTCATGGTCTTTTTGTAAAATTTGCCATTATAGTTTGGCGGACACTAAAACAATTAGACCACTCGTTCTTGTGAACTACAAGTTGATAGTCCATTCGACGTGTTCGAATAATGGCATAGGCCGCCCAACTATTGCTCGAGTGAAAGGAAAGAACGAATGCGCAAGATTTTATGTTATCAGCGCGCACTCTTAGCAAAATGAGGATTACCTGTGGTGCTACGTCACGATCCCTTGCCTCGCGGGTCTACACACTAGTCTGTGACAGACTAGTCTGATAACATAAAAGCGTGCGCATTCGTTCTTTTCAGCCTGCGTTCTTTTCTTCTTTTCAATCAATAGTTGGGCAGCTTATGACAATGCGTGATGCTTTAGCGAAGGAAAAAAAGCGAAAAAAACCCTCCAGTAATATCACCATGATGCACCCAACATAATGATATATGTTTTGGGTCTGCAGGGATTTGCAAATGACCTAATAAATCCTTATATCAAGCAGATAAAATCCATAGACTAGCGGTTCCTATCGAAAGTGAAGTGCTGCGATATGTAAATTCGGCCAAAACACAATCCATCGTATCTGTCGTCCACGTCGAAATGTCATCACAATGTGCAGATAACAAAGCTGAAAGACTCATAAATTGTCTTCCTCTAGAAATGTCGCTAAAACGATTATCACCTTGATGAATATACTTCCTCGAATAAATAAAGTCGCATTTAACATGCTAAATATTTGTCGAACTTGCCTTTGCAAGAGATCGAAAAGCAATAGAAAGACCATGCAGTTTACATGGTTTACGGCGCATCATTTGATAATAATCGCTGATTATGTAATGTTTACTGTAGGCGCTCGAAGTGTCTATCGCTAGCCCACGAAGTCAACTTTCGCCTTCAGTATGTATGGCACAGGGACACCAAAAGGCCTGCGGGATTAGTGTCGCTGCTCACTTCGTTCGCAGCAAAAATCTATTGAGTGGATAACTTTATCCACACTCCGTACAACCGGCCCCTGTTTATRTTATCTAATTATTAATGACACAAGGTAATAGGAGCATGCTCGGTTTATATAAAATGYCACTGACTTCATCTATGTTGTAGCTTTTGTGACAGGTTCACTTCGAGTACATTTATTTATACGTACAAAAGACCCTTTGGACAGTAAAATCAGTGCGATAACAGGCTTTGAAATAAGAAATAAATGTATAATGTCAAGGAGATGCAATAAACACAACTTATTCGATCAGCACCATKGAAGATACACGATAAAAAACTAGCTTGTTCTAATGGTTGAATACAGGATAAAAACACTGTGGCGAACTACTACCTCGTGGGCTTGCTGGACGCAAGGCACCACGGGAAGCCAAAGGGACTCCAATTCTATACTGTTACACTTTAATATTTCGACTGTGCTCGAGATTGATAGTACGAACGCTATGATTGGCCGAGAGACAGTTATAATCCATGCTCTATTTTWTAGAATTCACAAGAATTTCAAACAAAGATAGAAAACTAAAATATATTTCTTTCCTAAGAAAGAATTTTTATCATTCTTTTAGGGGCGTTGAGGAGAGCCGAGTTGCCTTCTTGGTTTTGCGAGCAATACAAGTAAATCGCATGTCACAAAAAGGCATAATAAATAAAAAAAAAAAGATGAATAATTTAATAATTTGTAACACATATATGTTATAAGTGCCCACACCCTTTATTTTTCATAAAGATTCTGAATTTCGAGGAAAGAATCGGGACAGGCTTTGAAGTTTGATATCAAGATCTACACAATGTTTTAATTTTTTGTAGGTGCTATATTCATGCATCTACGCATGTTCAAGTCTGAAATTTCACACGCAAACTACAAGACAAAATTACCTTAATTTTAGAAGTCAAATTTCCATACATTACTTAAATCATCGTATTTACAAAATACAAATCTTTTAACTCAATGAGACTCGAACCCAGACCATTAACTTACCACTATGTTATCTAGTCAACTGTTGACCAAATCTTGAATTTTAATATACTTTATGTAAAACTGACAAGCGTTTAGCAAGCGAATAGAAGCACCTTATAATCGCTAACATTTGCATGTAAAATATTAACTTTTAAATGTCACAAAAATTAGTTGCTTAACAGCGTGATCAAGGTGCTGTCCAATTGTTTGTTCACAAATTGTAACGGTTTCTTTTTTCCATTTCAAGTCAACGTTGATTGATCTATTTTTGACATTCATGTGAGATAGATTAAATTTTGATTAGGGACAGGTGGGTATGCTGCAGTACCTCTTRCCAAAGAGGGCCGCTTTACAAGTTATGTCATTAACATTTTTTTTTTCTAGTTATGTCGTCTTGAGGCGACTTAATATCCGTTGCTAGAGAAATTCAGTAGTTCTCTAAAATGACAAACAAAAGTAAAATCGCTTTCGCATTGAGTATTAAGCCTTCCCCCCCCAAAAAAACACATTCAATGACGTCATTGTATGACGTCATCGTGTGACGTCATTAATACGAAAAATGCTATAATTTCATCAAGCAAAGTATATTAAACGATTTAAAATGGATGAAATTAATCTTTAGATCTCAGTCCGTAAAGCCAAGCATGCGTTTTAGAATGATTGCCAAATAAGCTTAAATGATTAGATTATATTTTTAAAATGATACCATACATTTTATGTAAACAAAAACCTTTCCACCGGAAGTAAAAATTTTCCCGCCATGAAAACGCGCGCGCGCCCGCTTCTCCGATTGGCTAGCATCGGCTAGCATAGCAACCAGGTCGTCTAGAAACGGATACGTCAGTACACCCTTAAAGGGACACTGTCAATGGCACGCATGCGCGAGTAACCTAGTGTTTTCAAGTTTATGACTCCAAGTTGGCGCGACATAAATCAGCTCGTAAACGTAAACAGATCTAGAATATTCCAAAGTGTGTCAAAAGCACCACCACCACAAAATGATTTTCCTCGGAGGTAATACTTTCAAAGTCCGTTAGAGGTGAGACTGTTACTGCGCATGTCATCCATTGACAGTGTCCCTTTAAGGAAATTTGGATGATAATTAGGTGGGTCCCTTGGCGACTTRGGGTCTGATTGTAAAGAGAATATACACTGTGCATGATGGAAGTTGTAGTACTCGCACTTTTTTAAATCCCCAAATAATCTCCCTAAAAGTGAGATTTACGTTTTCTTAGTAAAACGGCACAGGTACGTCTATTTTTGCAAAGAAGAAGTAAAACGGCCTAGAAGGACTGTTTAAACGGACACAAAAAAGATCGGGGACTACAACTCCCGCCAYGCTTTGTTAMACAAAATGGCGTTGCTGTACGTTGCCTATTGGAATGTTTATTACTTTTTTTACGAYTGGCTATATCATAAACGWCCATTTGGATWTGTAGCGTTTGCATGATATTTCAATGATATGAATACACATWTTACCTGGAAATGTAGGATAGCTTCCGCTTTACGTTTCTTCGAACTTTCTGGCAGCCACCTCTGAATATCTTTTTCAAAACTAAATAAAAAAGGCACAATTTACAAGCTATCCTTTTTTTCTTTAGGCTGTCTTGCACAAATGTGAAAAATACTTTCATTTGTATTTAAAACAAACCATTCAGAAATCATGCGGACATGCTCGATGTGACATACACTTTATTCCATAAACATCGTTTATTAAAACGACTCGTTTACAGCCAGGTTATTTTTCTAGGCYAGTGTACTTATTCTGCAGGAAGTCATGTGTGTTATGGCTGGGTTAAACGATACACATGACGTGCTACATGTATTCTTGAGTTTTATAAGTTTAGCCAGCTCATGTACAAGTTGTTCACCAAAATGTAGCGTACATATCTTATTTGAACCTCACATTGGACTGAGCCGTCTATTTCCATGCGGTGATTGTTTGGCCAGTGGSCTCATTAAATTGTATACCATTTTATTCTCACATTACCAACCTTATAATATCATCACGAGCTTCTAGCAAAGCTGTACCAAGCTTTCCTTTAAGGTCAATKATTGAATTCTCCAACGAAGTTGTCTGCTTCTTCTTTTCTACTGAACGCATYTTGCTATTTTCTGGACACCARATAACAATGAAAGCMTTATCATCACAAGCAAAAACATTGAAAAGAAATCACTTACTTAGTATAGCTTCCAAGTCTTTATCAATCACTTGTACTGATTCATATATTAATGCATCTTTCGATGTCATTGATGAACTCTGTTGAATTCTGCAACATAAAAATATTCCAAAAAAGGTTAGACAAAATGATGATTGTTAAATCACGACTGGCGATTGCAAGAACGAAAGACAGAGTTGATGTACTCAAATCAAGCGCACATTGACTAATAGTAAATTTTTCACATAACTTATAATTTTAACAACTGCTACAGAAAGGTGATAATAAACACATCGATAATGATAATAATATCCATCACTACTTTTAGAGCTTGTCATAGTTAATAGATAATATTAACTATGAGCTTGTCAACAATCAACAATATCAACAGCACATAGATAAATACACACTTTACCTTTTCTTTTCTAATTCAAATGTACTTTCTTCTTTGGAAGAAAATGCTGCTTTCTGCCAGATCTCAGGCTGTTCAAATGCATCAATTTCGTTTACAAAGAAATAAACCTCTGTATTAGAGAGCACTGGGTCTGAGTATAATGACGTCATAAGAGATGAGATAGAGGCCTCAATCACTTGTGTCCAGGGTACTTCTTCAGCAGAAAGCTGTGATTCGTGAAGTGAAAGACGCTTGTGATGTAACAACCTATCTATCCTGAAATCACAAAAGATTTACATGTATGAACGATTTACGATGTACGAACTCCTGGYGGCTAAAACCTGTCATTAATTAAGCTTGACTCTGTKTTAGTGTTTTACCTCTGCGCTAAATATGTCGAATTTTGAGGAATCTGTTGAACGTAGAGTTGACACAGCAGAGCTTCTGAATCCCACAATCCTATACGGGACAAAAACACATGTAAAATCATTCACTTGACAAAGGCAAAATGGGGTAGCACATACCATTTTCTGCTCTAGGGGGAGGAAGTGGAAGAAGAAGTGACAAGATCACACTCCTGAGGGAAGACAAACTTGGTTCAGAGTTCCAGTCAATGTGTGGTACACCTACAATCAATAAAGATCTTGAGTTTTCTCTAATTTCTGGAGCATTCAAGGAGAGCAGTAATGATATTTATTCCTCCAACTAGTTATGTTAACTATGCTTCAACGTTTAGAATGAAGAACCTCTCACCGAAATGAAACTGCACATTTTTGCCTGATACATGCATTGCTGCGAGGATGATTAACAAATTAAACGTCAAAAGAATGGGAAAGAATGTAAGAATGAGCCTAAGCAAATGTAGCTTTTTCAATTCTGAAGACTGAAAGCCGTCACTGTGAAGTTTAGATCAGACACTTGCCTGAGAGAAAATCTCAAAAAAACATAGGACCGCAGACCATGAAATCAGGATATTTTCTCAGACATTCATGTAAATTAAAACGCAATATATGCCACAGTTCAGTCTTGTTACCCCTTGATTCAGCTTTGCAGAACTCCTTGATAGGCCAGGACACACGACAAAGTTTAGATGATGATGCTACTGATGCTAGGTGTTCTATCACTGCATTGTACATGGCAATCAGTGCTTCTGGACACTGAAAAAAAAGAATGATAATAACAAAATCCTTAATCCAGCCAGATAAGTGTAGCGATAATGAGATTGTGAATGCTTTTTAAATGAAGGCAAAATGACACTGACCTGATCATTAAGTCCAGCCCTCTTCCTTGTGGCAAAATCATCGTAGAAACTTGTCCAAAAGTAACGTTGCATTCCTGTGTAAAACATTCATTCAATCATTGATCTTAGCACTGCAATAATGCTGTGTATCTACCAATAGAAGCAAAAGGTTTGCTTAGAGGAGAATTAGAATGAATAGTTGACAGGCACGAAAACTTATAAGCCACTAAAGATAACTAATTAGTTGAAGGCATCAGCCAAAAATCACTAGCCCTGACACCAGTCCACATCTCGCACAAATGCCTGTGCAACTACAGAGGATATAGCATATACGTTCAAGTGTAGAATTGATACAATGGAGATATCTTAATTGAACACAAAAACATTAAATTTTTTCAAATTTAACAAGCAATATTCTATTTCTCATATTGATGAATCTATAAATGGCATGCAAAATAGTAAAAGTTCTTTTTTCTTGGACAACGTTTGTGTAATTAGGTGTAAATCGAAAAAATCAATAATTAAAATTAAAATCAGTCAATCAATCAAATCAAGCCAAGGGTATGCCAGCTTTAGAAAAAATGATGTAAGTTGGTAACTTTATATATTGAAAAACCACCGGGAATACAAAACAAAACAGTTGCAACAACAACACAAACAAGCAAAAAAGTTTATCATGTTTAAATATCATGTTTTCAACATTAGAGAAAACCTGGTGTTTCACTGATGTCTAGTATRTAGTAGTTTTTTTGTKTGTTGMAGGCTATGGATGATCTATATCTGACGAATGAATAYGTTGGTCTAAAAATTAACATTCACTAGCTATGACCCTTCTAGTGGTTGGGAAACTGTTGTACCTTCCTCCACATAGTTCTTTAGAGAATTAGATTCAAGTTCCAGMTGATCATTTGAACGTTGTAGGAGCCATGTAACAGCTTCTTGTAACTGCCAAACATAGAGATATGATTCATTTACTAMTACTGTGATAATATCATAAATATGCATGATTATTGAATTCAGGCCATTGTACTCCCAAAAGAATAAATCATGGCAAATTGTTTTTATTCTATGTATGAAAAGCTGGAAAKGGTATGTAAAAATGCTAAAAAATCATAATCATAATATTAACAAATAGATATTTACCACATCATTCAGTATTTGTATTTCTGTAATTGATGGAAGCATGATAACTGTAGCTTCTGATATGTGATTAGAGTGATGGTGGATGCCAACTGCATCAATAACTGCATCTGATAACAAAAATAATTATGAGCAAATAATTCATAATTATTTATCTAGTATGATCCCCTAAGAATTTCCATTGCTTAAAGATTTGAATATCATATAGACAAAACCTTGATTACTCTTGAATATCTGCATGACCTCAAWTGAAATATGACTTTAAACTAATATATGACTTTCTGTTTACAACCACAGAGTATGGTGACTAGTTTTACATGAGATAAATAAACACCAACTAAACAAATAAACAAGTAATTGAACAAATAAGTAACAATTTACCTTGTGTAATATGATGTTGCTGCAAACTATTATCAAGAAACAAAATAACTACTGGGATTGCTGGGATATCTGGCTTGCTTTGTAAAAGTCTTTGAACTCTTATACGCAAATCCTGTACAAAGGAATAATACACGGTCCAAAATGTAGCTTATGTGCAGCCAACCAAAACAGTTCTGCTGCACACAGGCTAAGAAAATAAGTAAGTCATAGAAAGAACCAGATTATTTCAGAGATTTACCTGGCGATGTGAGTAGGATAGCAATTCACTTGATTCAGTTATAATAAGAATAGCACTGGTTCCTTGCAATTGGCGTGATGATGTAAGGTTTGTTAAATCAGTATTAGATAGAATCCCATATGAAGCCTGAATACAAATTAAATGCAGAATGATTTATTTCAATGATAATAATAATAATAATGATAATAATAATAATAATTAATTTTTAAAGCGCTTATACAGCTCAGATCTAAGTGCTGAGAAATAAAAAAAAATTACAGATAAAAAATTACAAATTACAAAATTTATAAATTTAAAAAATTAAATTATACATTAAATTAATTATTTATTTATTAATATCTATTAATATTATATTATATCATAAATATTATATTTTTATTCTATATATAAAAAGCTGGAAAGGGTATGTAAAAATGCTAAAAAATCATAATCATGTAAATTATTTATTTATATCACATTTATTTATTAAATATATTACCGTATTTGTATAGGAAATCACACGACCTTGAGTACAATTTGGAATTAATAGTCACGAGTAATGTTTTGAAAGTTCTCCTATCCTAATTGCACGAGCCCGATAGGGCGAGTGCAATTTGAGAACTTTCAAAACATTACTCGTGACTATTAATTCCAAATTGTACGAGAGGTTGTGCGATTTTTTTGTTTATAGTACATTCAACTTAATTAAGGAGTACAATTAACGCTGTAATTGTACTACTCTCGACCAATCAGAATGTATTATTTTGTTGAATGTACTATAAACCTATGTATAAGCCGCTCCCATAGATAAGCCACACCCCGAGTTTTTGGAACGTTTTTGAGGAAAAAATGATGGAAAATGAACATTTCTCTTTTTGATCGCCACTTGCGAACACAGCTTTCTTTGATTTTAAAGTGCTTTTCCGCTGCTCGATTTCCATGATCCAGCATGCATTTCATATGCAATTACAATCAGTTTATTTAACGTGCAGTGTATGATGATCTTGGAGATCTTTTTAAGATTGATACCAGTAATTGATACTATATTTAAAGAGTTGTTTTTCATTCCAAAGGTAAAAGCAAACTACTGTAGTAGTAATCAACTTGAGTGATATAAATCTCATCGTGCCGCCAAACTTCTAAACAAGGATCATGCCGAAACCTTTTCAACGTTTCGTATTTCAAAAAGATATTAAAGCAGATTGTATTTGTTTAATATATAATACGGAACAATTTCTTAGGCTTATTTCTTGGGTATTCAAAATATTTACCCTGGATTCTTCACTTTAAGTGTGACAAAGTCGCTTAAATGAACAGTGCAAATTAGCATCGCGTTACCAAAACAACTCAAAGACAAAACGATTGAAATCGCTTTCAGTGTTCATTGGCTCAATAACCACGCACTTTTCAGTTTGATTTATTGACTTGYGTTTCTCAGAGCTAGATTTTCGGAGAWTTWATAGTAATACTGAGAAGTTTGGGTTAAAATTTCTGTTCCCGCCGTGTAAAACAAACTTATCACATTACTGATGTCCTGTCTGCAGTAAGTAGCACCGTGAATGCTAATTTATGCTAATTAGTTTTTATCAGGCATTTTTACAAGTCTTCTCGTAGATAAACCGCACCCCCGATTTGGGAACGATTTTTTTGGAAAAAAAGTGCAGCTTATACATGGGTAAATACGGTATATTTTTTATTAATTATATTATTTTATTATACATTAAATTAATTAAACATCACAATTATATCCTGAGACCATTATAAGGACATCAACAAGTTATTGATCTATGAGCAAATCGTAGTGAGGATTGCAGTTTCTTTTATTTGTTATTATATAATTTTTGATATATAACGAGCACTCTGATTGGCTGATGACCGTGTTTATATCAGAGGACAGAGACACTGCTTACTGGCAAAATTTTCTTTTCACTCGAAAAATTTTATAAAAGAAATATAAAACGGCTGCTTGTGTCTCTGTCCTCTGATATAAACACGGTGGGAGTTGAAAAACACTAAGCTTGCTTCTCTCATGTTTTTCGAACTCCCACCGTGTTTATATCAGAGGACAGAGACATGTGCGCTGTTTTATATTTCTTAAATATGGAACTGTATTATAGCCAAGAATGACCGTATTTGATACACAGTATTGATACACAGTTGTGGAACTAATAAGCACATTTTGCATCACTTTGCAATATTCTAATATATAAATTATTTATTGACACACATCTTTGTCATTGCTTATAATACAATACACTGTAGTTGTCCAGGTGGAAAGCAACAAAAATATTCAAATGCCTTGCTAAATGACTCTTTATAATAAGAGAATACTATCAAAACAAAGATAAGAATACAAAACCTTACTGAAAGAAATGATTCTAGATATTCTTTCAGAAAAACGAACCATTGTTGAGATTACTTCGTGAGGACAAATTATCCAATGATGGCATTCATCACAATCAGTTCACTTGTTATAAGTTGTTAACTTATTGACATACTTTTTACAATCTTAAATTCTGGGCCAGGTTGTTCAAATTTCATTAGTGTTAATTCAGGGTTAACTCCATAGCCTTTTTAAAAATTAACCAAGGATTAGCGCTAATCGAGCATACAACAACCCAGCCCTGGATTTCTTCTGCATTTCAGGAATGCATTTTGTCTTTGTGTCAGTTGTTCTAGTTTTGCAGTTGCATAATAGTTATTAACTGCCCTGATTTGTTTACAGTTATTGGAATTTGCTTTCTTATACGATGAACCTTTCTATCAGTGATAGACTATAGGGTTTATGGATCATTACTCATTCCCAAATTACACTGGACATGCTTTAGTGTAGGCCTGTATGAGAGATCAATATTCTACATTTCCCTTGTTGCACTTTTTATTGTAAATTATGGCTCTATGTTGTACGTCTACCACTTTTCAAGTAAGATGTTTATTTTCTACTTACCAATGTACAAATACGGCATCGCTTTGCAGTCGATAATCTTGATGGCACTTCTGCACTGTACAAAGATAGCAGCTCAAGCTACAATAAAAAAAGTAGAAATGAGGTAGAAATACTGTCAGTCAAAAGTGGGCCAATTCCATCAATGAAACTGTTTTATTGTGTGTTTTTTTATGCCACTGTAGGATAAGTATTTTACAATAAAATTGTTTTCATTTGACCATGAAAATTTACTATCAAATACATTAGTCATTTTCTTATAATGAAAAACAACTACATAATCTACATGTAACTTATAGAATTCACAAACCTTTCCTGAAAGACTATCAGCTGTCTTTTCTGTAATTGTCCCTTTTGAAAATTTTTCCCTAATCACTGATAAATTGACATGAGCTTCACTTTGATTAAAAACAGGATAATCAAGATCCTGACAGGGATTCCTGAATGACAGCAGAAGCTTCCAGTCCATACAAGACTTTACTGTTGTYTTTGTGAAGAATTGTGGGCTGGATAAGCCGGCGATCAATTGAGGAATGTCAATAGAGCGTAGCACCTCAGACCTGTTACAAGAGTTTTTTTTAMGATTTAAGAGCCGCTTCACACAAAAACCAGACAAAATTGAAATTTTTTGGCAAGGCTCGAAAAATCAAATCTATTCATATTTTGTATATTGATAAGGTATGATTAGTTAACAATCGCTGTGTAATTGGTTTTTGAAAATATTTCATTTTWCGCAARARAATCGCTAAACAATGTCACATACTCGGCCTGTGCGTGACAAATGCTTGATTGCTAAAAATAGCTCTCAAAATAGCCAAACTTCATACCAAGTTCATGTAAAAAATAAAAGAGCTAATCTAAAAATTCAAATTAATTTGCTTTCTTATTAACTCTTTTTTATTTATTTCATTGATTTTCACACCATTTAATTAAAAAGTAAATTTTCTGGAACTTGAAATATTTGCTTATGCTTTTTTATATGCAAATTMGTACCTTTACAAAACGATCATTTTTTTAATGTGCAAGTACTTTGTTTGTACTAAAATTCGGAGTGATTACTAAGCAAGAGATGAACTTTTCAAATACATAAAAATTAGTCTGGGCAAAACACTCTCAGTTGCATAGAAATGAATACTTCCGGCGATAATAATCCGTTGAAACACCAAATTTTTTAAACATGAACTGAAATTTATCAACATTACCTAAAATTTTCAAAGAAAATAATCTTAACCCTTTGTATTTCAATAACATACGTTTAATGTTGATTAGATGTTTATAAGCTTTGAAAATTGTTCGGTTAATACAACTGACAGAATACGTGTTTACGCTGATAATTGTGACTAGAATACTGTCATTCCTGCGCACCTGAGAATGATTTGCTCAGACTAATTTTTCTTTCTTTGTAAAGCTCATTCCTTGCTAAGTAATCGCTCCGAATTTCATTGCAAACAAAATACTTGCACATGAAAAAAATTGATCTTTTTTAAGGTACTAATTTGCATATAGAACTACATAATTATTATGTAAACACTTCGAGTTCCAGAAAGTTTTCTTTTGATTGAATTAAATGCTCTGAAAATCAACGAAATAAATAAGAAAGAGTAACTTAGAAAGCCACAATTTAAATATCGAAATATCGAAATATTTTCAAAAACCAATTACACTGCGATTGCTACCTAATCATACCTTATCAATATACAAAATATGAATAGATTTGATTTTTCGAGCCTTGCCAAGATATGTCTGATGTTTGCGTGAAGTGGCTCTTAAACTGTCCTTTCACAAAATAGTAAAATATACAAATTTTTTGTCATGGGACCAATAGCACACCAAAACTAAAACTAACAAATGTGGAATATACATACAAATCAGAGTATAAAAATTACCTATTTTTTTCCAGCACAGCTTGCCTTTGTGATAAGGTCTTTGATATGTTTTGTTCATCTCTAAGGATCCTGATTTCAAATTGCAATTGTTTTAAATTACTCCTTACAAGATAACATGATGTTTGTACACCAACAGGTTTCCATTCATAATCTATTTTTTATCATTATTTTAAGTGTTTAAAGACAGGAGAAGAATTTTCTGTTTTGGATGCTCTCTATGTGATCAATCATATAACTAATGTTTCATTTATTAATTTAAAAGACATCTGACRTATACATCCTGACTTATGATGCTTTTGATCAGCACCTTACCTTGTGGTATGGAATGTACATGTGCCAGCATCAAACTGTGGACCAATCAACTGACTCAGTTGCTGTTCAGGGCTCGCCAGTGAGCAATGAGATGGGAAGTTACTTAGCAGTCTTTTAAGTTTTACTAGGGAATGGTATGATTTGATCCATCTGATGGAAGATAGATGAGCATTAATGTCTACCACAGAACATTTGGAATGGAAACTCTACTCACCTCTTAAAATACCTTTCTTTTCTAGTCACCATAAAGCTGTTAGAAATCTTTTGTAATGTTGATTTTCTAAGGGACTTGAGTTCTTTAAAACTCTCWTGAACAGTTTTCTGTATTTCATCAAGGACAGTTTGCTCAAGAATGTTTTGGCTGATTTGCTGTGTTGCCAATTCCTCATAGCGTYGGACAAGCTTTTGATGCTCAATACTAAAGCAAACAAATATGAGACAGTAGAAAACAGAGGGATTAAAATAATTTTGTTACCTATCGATTTTACTCTATTTGTACTGTCTCGTGTATTTGTATCATGAAAAGCAAGGTAATTACTTGTAAACAGAGGAGGCACTACGATACAATTCCTCTTCAATGACCTCATTAACTATATCAGATGCCAAAGTGGAGGATGCTTTCTCTCGTTGTGCTGCTTGTTCTGCTTCCATGCTAGAAATTAAAAAAATAATTAAATAAACCTAAACCCTAATTAGAGTGCACGTCACATAAGCATGAAACAATTCTTAACGATGTATTGCTAAATAAGATTTAGTTATCAACTAACTAAGAATTCAACAAAGCATAAACACAATGCCAATTATTTAAATTCCTTTGTAGCATTGTTCTCAATTCTTAGTTAGTTGATAACTAAATCTTATTTAGCACTACATAGTTAAGAATTGTTTCATGCTTATGTGACTTGCACTCTA